AAATTCTTTATAAAAATTATTAGGTATTTGGGGGATAAAGGAAATGTTGACCCGATTCAATCCATTTTTGACACACAGATATGCGACTGACAGGAAAGGATTCTCTCTGAATTTGATTTATATATCTCACACATTGTCCAATATTTTCGGTAAAAATTCACTGGGTCCACATATCCTGTGCCTAATGAATTGAGCACTTTTGGTTCTATAAAGGCAATTTTAGGTCATAAGTAGCATACCTCAAATGCAATAATGCAAAACTTTATCCTGAAATAGTAATTTATTCTTTATTTTTATACTGGAAATTGAAAGTCTCAAATTGAATATAAACTTGTGTTATATGCGAAGCAGGCATTGTTGTAGTCCCTGTGAATTAAGAATGTCACGTACCAAATTTGCTTGAAATCAGTTGGGCGGGACTCCGAGATATGTGATTTCATCTAAAAGTTGACGGTGCCACGTTCATAGGGCAATTTATAGCCTGGCTCCTTTAAAGCTCTCGATTTATCGCTCTTTTAGTATATTTTAACTATACCGTTATATGATAACCCTATTATCCGATTCTATCCATTTTCCCACTGTCGGCAGGAGTTCTTATAATATTTTCCGTAGGCGACTTTTTTTTGTTGTAGCTTTAGTGGTTGAGGAGATATATACATATATATACAATAAACTTATTGGACATAATACAATAAACTATACACGCCCACTTTTTAAAAAATTTTTCCCACAGATGCTCCTTGCTACTGCGATACAATTAGAAGAAAATTAGAATTAATTTAGTGCTTAGTTATGACACTTTATATGTTTTCGATTAAAGACGATATGTGGGCGTGGTCGATTATTTTGATGTGATACTTACAACCATTAGGTGATCAAAACTATTACACTTTGAAGCAACATGTTACAAGAGTACAAAACTGAATGCTGTACAAGGGTATGCATATTTATTTAGGAGACATACATACATACATACATATCTACCCACCAGACAAAATCTACCTGTTGATTCTATATTTCTATGACAGCCGGTTTGTATCACTAGTAAATTTGATTAGGTTTAGGTGTATTTCCGGTTCCGCACACAATCTATGCTCCTTGCAGGAAAACCACCAAGGATAAAAATATACTATTTTGTCCCTATTATAACTGTAATAATAAACGTGTCTGCGAAAAGTAATAGTTTGCATTCAAATATTAATAAAAAAAAATTACATTGAATTAAATTTATTTTGTAATACGCATTTACTAATATGATGATTTATAATTATTAATTGCAGTTCGATTTTGACTATAAAGATGGGCACATTGATGGGCGATTCTGCCACTATTAATGTTAATCTTCTCGGCCTTGCCCTCAGCGCCGTTTTCTTGGGTGTATTCTATTGGTACGCTTCGAATGAACTTAAAGGGGAAATATTGTCGAAAATTGGTATTGCTGCAGCTTTTACAGTTGTCTGTTTAGCGTATGCGACTATTGAAAATCCGAAAAAAATCGAATTCCGTTTTGGTATGCTCATCACTGGGATATTAGTATTTTTAGTTGGATCGCCACTATTGCAACTCAATAAAATTATTGAAAAGAAGAGTACAGAGGGTATGCCTTTCCCAATTATATTCACTGGCACACTAGTAGCTGCGTCGTGGGCGTTGTACGGAATTTCTATTCATAATTTCATGATGGCTGTAAGATTAATTTATTATTTACCTTTCATTATTACTGTAATTAACATCGAAAATTTTATGTTCTTACCTTTCAGTATCAAAATTTATTCTTATTCGCGTTGAGCGCTATACAGTTATCGTTATTCGTCATTTACCCGAGCTCTCCCTCAGTGTCGGAGCCTTCAGTAAAGCATTCGCCATCCACATTGGAACACAAAACATCCCAAGGCAAAACGTCAAGCCCGTCGAAAACTAGTGTTGGTAGCAAGAAGAAGAATTGATTACATGCCTGTGTAACGGAGGCTGTGCCTGCGCCTACACATTGATGTCGCTGAAGTAAATAAGTGAAGGGGATATTGAAAATTTCTTCTTTAAATAGATATAAATATCTAAATTAGTTTACAATAATATGCTTGTGCTTTCAACAATCTAATTGCTATAGCACATTCTACTTAACATGCATTACGCATTATTCTAAATTTGCACCAAGCGCAAACAATTTATTAATAAATTTATACACGTCGATTGCAATTTTTGACAATAATACAAATCTTCCAAATACACTTAAAGTAAATCGTTAAACTTATTAAGTATTTTAATGTAAAATAACAAATGTTTTTATTATGTAAATTTGGTTTGTAAATAAAAACATATTTTGCTTGATTTTTTAATTATTTGTCGATTATTTCGAGGTTTAAGGGCTGCGCAGTTCTTGCACGCTATACGTATGTAACCCCTTTTGAGTTAGCTTACCGCTTTGTAGCAACAATCGATATAAGGAGGAATTAGATTAGATACACGAGGATTGCATCGCGACCTTAGGTCTATTGTGCACTCTCCTAAATCACAAAGACCTAGCACCAGTCCAATATATGGTACTGCTGGGTGCTAGTGAAGCGATGTTATCCTTATTTGGAAACATGGAACCAAGTCATGCGTCTGCATACTGTTATGTAGACAATTAGCACAAACACAAGACAGGCCGCTGCTGTATAAGTACTTCTCCAGCTTGCAGTGGCCAGTGTATAATGCGACAAGTAGTCTTAATTTGTCACTAGAAAGGTTGATTACATATTAAAACCTGTTAAAAAGTTATAACCCCCATTAGCGACTTGGCATGGCGCATGCTTTGGAGTTGTTGGCAATAACTCTCTCTCTCTCTGCCTACTCTTTCTTCCTTGCGGAACAGCTTTTTTATAGTATGGAAACCCATCGCAATGAAGGGTTCAGGTCCTATCATATTAGTGGATGCTGTGGAGCGGGCGAGCTCATCAGCCAGTTCAGTTCCTTTGTGACCGGGCTCCCAGATAAGGTGTACTTGGTTACGTTCCGCTAGGCTATTCAGCCGTCCTCTACACTCCTGCACTAGTAGCGATTTCATCTTATAAACAGAGATTGCTTTAAGTGTCGCTTGACTATCGCTAGGTATGGTTATACGTTCGTCCAATGTTTTGGAGTCTTCGGTGTACCACTTGATTATACTATCCCTAAGCAGTAGCTTAATAGTGAAATCATTTCAGCCTTGCCGCTAAGCGTAACCTTGCACTTATTGGTAAAGTTTACCCTTTTAGTAATGCTGTCACTTAACTTTTTCATGCGGTGGTGTGAGCTCAAGCATTACTTCAAATGCTGCCTTGCAACCTCCGGATTTACCAGCCAGTCGATTGTACATCATTACTGCTTTAGTCGGTTTTTCCATGGTCAGGTAAACAGGACTTCTTCTTTACTTGTTATAGCCGAGTTAACAACAGCGGGCCAATCATTTCTTCTTACTCAACGTGGCGCCAGGTTCTTCTTCACCTGGTCTTTTCAACGGAGTGGAGCGGGTATTGCGTCGAATACTTCCACAACTGTAGTGTTTTTGTCCATATGTACGACATGACCTAGCCAACGTAGTCGCTGTCTCTTAATTCGCTGAACTATGTCAATCTCATACAACTTACCGTTCTATAGAATCTTTCTCTCGAAAACTCGGAACGTCGACTCATCAGACGAGATCGTCGTCCCAGCCTCTATACCATATAGCAGGACGGTAACAATTTCTCAAAGCAACACGAAGTCGAAATTTTCCATTTTTATTTTAATACTCTACTTCACTACACTCTTTATTTAGGACTCTTTAGAACTATTTCTGGTAATGCTTTGATAACGAGGTTTTATTGCATATATCGAATCGTCCTTACTGGACCATCTATCTAAAATCTGTATTTCCACGCAACTGCCAGCGGTTCATTTATCGACAAATTTAAATTATGAGTGACACAATGTACATACTCTGCGTTAGGCTGGATATCCACAGACAGCTCAGATATTGAGCACTCCTGAACTAGACTCGGATGCTTTTTGCATTAATGCCAACTAATTGACTGCAACTATACTCTAAAAGTTAAGTATATCTGGAGACCACCGACCCTCTTCCTTAGTTAGGACATATCTATGATTATAAGGTCAATCCGTTTCCGTTCCGATCACTTGTCTCAAAAGTAACCGCAATGAGTTGAAAGTTTTAAGGATTAACCCTAAAAAGTGCGTACGTAATAACTTAAAGAAACATGATTTACAAAGTTTGAACATTGATAAGCCTTGCTGTAATCGTATTTATTCAATATTAATTAAAAAAAAAACCCTTACTGTACGTGAGTGTGCATATTTTTTATGAAATACAAATTCTACAAGTTGATTCTATATTTTTTATAACAGGCGGTTTGTATCACTAGCCATCTGTTACATATCCATACATACCTATGTACATAGTTGATACAAATTATCTTTAGCCCCTTATAAAACTTATTGTGACAACGCGATATCGTTATCATATATTCGACCACTCGACCTCTAATCAAATTATATACCCTACATGTGTCCGATAAAAATTCATGGATTACAAACCAAAGTTTATTTTCCATAAACACTTTTGGTCATTTACTCCTTGCTTGGAAAAACAAAAATAAATATGTGGTATATACATACCATTGAAAAAAAAATAATTCTGCATTGAATTTTTTGCTCTTGTACCAGAGTTGTAATGTACTTCCAAAATTTTCCGTTATTTTCTGTTTTTGTTTACTATTTAGTCAATGCTGATTTTGAGTGGATACATAAATGGCACAAACTACAATAATTTGTTTGTAGCAATCTAATTGCTGTGGCACATTCTACTTAATATGCTTTATTCCAAATTTGCACTAAAAGCAAAATATTTTTTATTAATAATAGTTTTTGACAATAAAACAAATCTTCAAAATATACTTAAAGCAAATCGTTAATTTTATTAACAACTTATTAAACATTTAAAGTAAAATAAATGTTTTTATTATGTAAATTTGAGTTGTACATAAAAATATTTTGCTGACTTTTTAATTATTTACAGATTATTTTGAGGTTTCAGCATGGGCAAACTAGGAAAAATCGGATTTATTAGAACATTTTAAGTATTTCTTAGTAGTAATGATAATTTTTTGTTTTACAAATAAAGGGAAATGATAATTAATTTCACTCATTAGTTTTAGGGTTTCAGACTTGTACGATTGGCACAGAAGAATTGTAATGTTCACCCAGACTGTACATATGGCGGTGGTACGTTATTAATAGACTAGGCCCAGCAAATTCGTCAGCCCCTTGTACAGTCGGTGGTCCTTCTGCCTGTAGCACTTCAATGGGTACTTTAAGTATGGAGGATAAGGCTTTTAGTTCAATTTGTCCTCCCCAAGCTGGTGTAGTATGCAATAGTTCGCAGTAGTTTTCAAATTCTGCATCAGTAAGCAAAAAGCCAGTTTTTGGATTAGTCATATAACAAATCAATGAATCTTTATGAGCGCGTATATAGTTAGCAGTTTCCTTGCGTAGTTCTTGCACGCTGTATGTAGGTAACCCTTTTTGAGCTAGCTGATGCCGTACCGCATTGTAGAGGCAATTGCCATCGGAAGGAATATAATGTAGTGTTAATTGTCGTTCTAACAGTTTCGATTGTATAGCACGCCTTTCGATAGCTTTTGGTGCGGACTTTGCATCCTCAGCAGCAATCCGAATATCTTCCTCTCTTTGTCGGGCTTCACGCGCTTTCTTATCACGTCGTTTTTGTGCTTTAGTAACACGTTGGGTAGTCCCAGTGGCATCTTCTTCATCATCATCACCATTACACAATGCGTCATCGAAGTTTTGTTGTTTCCCATTTGTATTCTCGTCTTGGTGTTCATTTTGGTTTTTTATTTGTTGTTCCTTTTCTACCTCGACTAATTCAGAGGCTTGCTTTTTCTCCAAGTCACTCTCTATACGAGCAACCTCCTCCATTATCTCTTTGCGCTTTTTTTTATCATTCTTGGGTGCAGACTTTTTTAAGGCTTGTATTTTAGCCTGCAAATCTTTTCGTTCTCGGCGATGCCTACTAAGTACATCATCCATCACTATGCCTGACAAGGCTTCAGACATCTCAGATTCAGCATTTACTTCTACCATTGTATATATAATGACTTTAAAAAGATAAAGTAAAATTAATGTAGATATAAATACTATTGTGGATATGCACATACAGTACGCGATGTTGGAGACTTTCGATTCAGCCTTTTTGTTCCAATTTGTTGATTTCTGCCAAATTATTTTCAGATAAGATGTACAATAAACAAACTTACTATTAATCAATTAAAAGCTTGCAATAATTATTTTTTAATGTCAAAAGTTTCCGAACACCCAACCTAAATGCTTATTTTATTGTAGAACAATTGTGAGTTGGCAATGTGGTAATTTAAAACGCTGCCTTGCCGACCATTTCAAACAGCTGTGCGGCGTGTTTATATATAAAAGTCTTATAATTTGAGTTTTAAATAAACAAATTAAAGGAAACAATGGAAATTGATTCAAATAACGAAAAATCGATTAATTCGGATAATGCTGAGGCTATCCTGTGTCTACCTGGGCAACGCTTATGCATTTCGGAAGAGACTACTGTGGCTGGTCAAGGAACCTATGAACGTGGCGGTTATATTTATGCTACATTGGCTGGAAGCGTGCAAGTTAAAGAGAAAGATAAGGTACTCACTCTAAATATGTTCTAATAATATTAATAATTTATTAAATTCACGCAATTAGTGTAAATACATAGAAGTTAAGTGTGCTGGTAGCCAGACTATTGTTCCAGTTGCGGGCGATGTAATAACAGCGCGTGTTCTACAAGTAAATCAACGTTTTGCCAAATGCTCCATAATATGTATTGGGGATCACATACTTGAACGTACCTATCGAGGAATAGTACGTAAAGAAGATGTACGTGCTAGTGAAAAGGATAGAGTTGAAATGTATAAATCATTCCGTCCAGGCGATGTGATACTAGCTCGAGTGGTAATTTAATTTTATATATGTGACCTGGTCTACGAAAAGGGAGCTAATGTGCGAAAACTAGTTTTCTGGGAAACAGCTGTTAAAAATCTCATCTTCCATCCGAATCAACTAAAAAGTAAAAATTGATTTTTTTGGAATTTTTGACACCTAAGCCCCCTTTCCGTAGACCAGGTCACATATATTAATAATTTTTTACAGTAAATTAACTATGTACATCTTTTATAGTTACCTCAAACTGAGCTGTCGTGTTACCAATTAAGTACTGCTGAAAACGAATTGGGTGTAGTAGTTGCGACGTCTAGCGAGAGCGGGGCGAATGGTCCACCAATGGTACCTGTCAGTTGGACAGAAATGCAGTGCCCAAATACGCTAGTAAAAGAACCACGGAAGGTAGCGAAAATTGTCGCAGAAAGTTCTTTAAAAACCGAGAAGTTAACTTAGGAGATAAATGAAAATTTTCTTCGTAATTTTAGTACAAAAATCTGCTAATATAAAAAAAAAAATTATGATTGGTTTTGATTTTTATCCAACCTGCTGTGGTGCAGAAATTTAAATTCCAAATATAATGTGAAACATTTTGTACATTAAATAGGTTATTTTAAGTGTTATTTTATTTTGTGTACGTAAACATGACTTAATCAACTTCGGCTTTGAAATTTTCCTTCTTTAAATCATATTCCATTTGGAAGGGGTATACTAAATTCTCGTTTAAGGTCGCCTTCGCTCGATCATGAATGTGTGCTACACGATTTTTGTCACCAAATGAACATTCAAAACGCACATATTCCATCCAAACCGATGTGTTTTCCTTACCGAACTGTAATACCATGTTCTCATACACCTGTCGCCGGCGCTCAGTGTCCTTTTTAGTCTGAAAGCAAAAATAGGGCGTTATTGGATTAATTTTTGAATTTTATAGTCACAGCCACAGTTTACACCTTACCCTTAAAATAACTTGGGATTCCAATTCAGCCATTTTTTCATGCAATTTTAGACAGGGTGGCGGCAATTGACTTAAATGGTCATATTCTTTGCGCACTTTGTCGAAAGGAGAATTGATCATGCAAAACTCCAGGTATTGAGCACGAAATATGCCAAATTTTGGATTAGTCATTTTAATAGCATCACGGTATAATCGATCAAGGGTCGACCGGTCTTCATCATATCGTGTTTTGAAGTATTGAATAGCTAACTCAAATATTGGTCCAGATTTATCTCCTAGGTCCTTCACTGCTTTGGCATGAATTTTTTCAACCATGTCTGAGTCGTTTTGACTTATATAGTACGAAAGCCATACCTCGTACAATTTTACTGATTTGTATGCAGAACACACTTCACTTAGAATGGACTCAGCGATTTTCCTTCCGGTTTCAGTCACGATTAATAAACGCAAAAATACACAATAATGCTCCTCACTCATTAGACCAGATTCGTGACCCATTTTTAGAGCCATCGCCAAGTATTTCCGTTTTGTTTTCAAATCTGTTTCATTATTTTCATTTATAATCAACATTGCGCTAATGTAATCGTGACAGATTGTTCGGGTTTTTAACTGCATGAGAAAAGTACTTTATTATAAAACCATATAGATCTTGTTAGAACCATTACATACCGTTTTTAAGGCTGTTTCGTATACCTTAGCGCATAATTCAATACGTTGTCCCATTGTGCGATCTTTGAACACCGGCATTGTCAAATATGAACCATTGTCAGCAGAGTCCAGATTATCAATTTCTGAAGCATCATTGTTGCTGTGTTCATTTCTTTTAGCATGTTCCTTTAAATCACTCAGTCCAAATCCGCGCAACTCCCGTTGTGCCAAAAAATCCCACAATTTTTCTTGCGATGGATAACGTTCCACCAGATCTTCAATAATTTTTAATTGTAAGGGTGCTGTAATGTTAATAAATGGAGGTTCTTCACAACGCCGCACCAAACCAATAAAAAATTGCAAATTAGTTATAGTTGTGCGACTATTTCTATATACACATTCTGCTTGTCTTAAGGCGCTCTCGTAATCGAGTCTCTGGCCAGCTTCAAATCGTTTATGTGCAACAAACACTAATAAATCAAATAATGTTTTGGTAAGTATCTCTTCATTAGGGTGTCGCTGTAATCCTCTTGTACAAATGTCTTGCCATATAAAACTTTCGCTATCATTGCTGAAAGCCCATAATGCTGCTTCCACCCAGTTTTTTTCATTAGATCCATGATACTAAAGGAAAGAAAATAAAGTAGAGTAAAAATAACAATATACTCCTATTATTTAAAAATTTCAATCTTACAGTGAGCATTTTTTCATAGATGCCAAGTACTTGTGCTGGATTCGAATGTTTGCTGAACTCTATGAAGTGATTCCACAAGCCTTCAGCCTCCGGAAATTTTTGAAGACACTCCCGATACAATTTTGTAATGTGATTTATAAGGTTATTCTTCAGACCTCGCACCTCAGTTTTAAAGCTGGCTTCCTTGCGCTCAACCAAGCGATACATCTTACGTTCAAGTATAATATATTCCACATAAGTACGACTGTTAACACTCTTTTGTGTAAGCTGTAGTGCGAAGGATTCCCTTTTCTGTTTGTAATTACTATAAGTAACATTTTAATTGAAATTAAGGAATTGAAATTTTATTGTGTGTTTACCTGATTTCAGAATCGTCACAGATATTGTATCTTTTCAATTGTTCGTAAACCGGCAAAGCGCGCTCCTGTAATTCCTGAACGACCTCCATTGCACAAAATTTATTCTATGTTACTTTTTTTATTATATTCTAATGTTTTGCAATTAGAAAAGCTAGAAGCATAAATTTATCTCTGCATAAATAATAATTTTTATAATTCGCGTTAATATGTACATAAGAATCCTGAAGTTAGTTGCAGTTCTATTTAAAACACGTTGGGTTAATCAGCTGGTACTCCGATATGAATTAGGAATTATTTATATTCTTTAATATTTTTTATTTTTATTTTTTGTATATCTTTTTAACTCGTTGACATTTGGTAATTACACAAAATTTTGAAATGAAAGGAAAAGGCCAGTAAAATAGAAATATTAAAACTTTCATTAAGTTTTTTTTTTTACATATAAGTGTCCGTACTCTTTTCTTTAATATTTATCAAATCCCCTGATCAATCGTAATTTTTCGAAATAAATTTTATAATTTAAGGAATAAAACGGGTTTAGAGTATAAATATTGCCAATAGTACGGCTTCACTTCACCGCTAAGGTAGTTTGTTATTTATCGTTTTGACAATTGTAGGCTTATCAATTTACCAAACTGTCAGTGAAAAAGTTACCGTCTCGCCTCTCTCTAATAATGCATTTACATCCCTTACACCCCTTTAACCTAATACTAATTCGTTTGACTATTGCTATTTTGCACTTCATACGGAAGATTTTGGCAGTTCATAAATACCTTCAGTTTATTGTTTTTTTGGTGGTTTAGTTACAATTTAGCGTTGAATTTTCGATCCTTCCCTTCTAAACATTGTACAAAAGTGTGTAAAAGTATTTAAAATATTAGTATTGGTGAATTAATAGCTGGTTTGGCAGCAACAGTGAAGAATGTCAGAGAAGCAGAAAGGTGACACGTCACGTCCAACCACTGCGTCTGCTGTGGCAGATGGTCCAGGGTTGACTACAATTCCGACAGCCAATGCTGTTGTAAAAAACCCACTTTTAAGTGCGTCTGTTACGGGTCTAACATTTGATGACTTTCCTAATAAGCCTTTGCTATTACCGCCGGTGGCTATTAGTCGAGGTAAGTGTTTTCTTTACCTTAAACATTAGCACTTGTTGCGCATAATGGGATACCAATACAATACGTTTACGACATCTAAAGTTGTTTCTTTATTTCGATTAAAAGTGGATATAAACATATGTATGTACATTTTAAATTAACTTCAACGACTTTCTGATTTTTACTCCATACTACGTGTGGAGTGAGAGCGGTACGTGGGCAGATCCAATGAAACTTGACGTCTCCGACAACACCAAACAATTGCCCAAATTAAGAGAATTATTAAAAGAAGCAGCAGCAATGCGCCTAACACTATTGCAGCTATAGAAGCTTCAGTGAGCACAAGATCGCGTACATCTACGTTGTATGAACGTTGATTGCCCGTGACATCGAATGCTGTAAGTGCCACTTTCGGTTCGCAACACGTTGCTATATACGTAGCTTTCAAGGGTTCTGTAGAGGCAACCGTGTAGCTATTCCGGTACAGTAGTCCACTAGAAGGCACAGTCTGCAAACGTAATATGCCTGACTGCCAATCTTGGGCGGTTATGTCTAGTGTCCAGAAGCGTTCCGCGCAATCAGTTGACTGTGCATTAACGTTATCACA